CACTCTTAGTCCTCCTGCAAAACCAAGTGCCTGCCTGAGATCGGGGACAGTTCTCTGTCACACAGCCTGGGAGCACTTGCCCTGGCTTTTGGGCTGGGACAAAGCCTGGGACAAAGCTGGGTGAGGCATTCTGGGCCACCATGGGGTGGGGGGCGGGGGAAAGTTCCCTTCTGGATCTTCCCAGCTGGGTGAGGCATTCCAGGCCACTATCGGGGTGGGGTGGGGGGAAGTCCCCTCCTGGGTCCTTCCAGCTGGGTGAGGAGTTCAGGGCCACCATCGAGGGTGTGGGGGAAGTCCCCTTCTGGGTCCTCCCAGCAGGTACTGAGTCCTCCTGATCTGACTCCTTCACTCTCAGGCAAGAGACTCCAAGGGGCTCCCTTATTCCCCGACGTCACTGGAGCTCTTGGCCTGGCCTCCTTCCCTCACGGCTACCACAGCCCACCCAACCAAAGAACACGTTTTTTGACTTAAAGTTCTCCAATTTTGGTGTTTTGTGTAAGTGCTTCCAGACAGCCAGTGGCCTAGTCTTTCGTGGTCCCTGCTCTCCTCGCAGCTCAGGATGGAGGCCCTGTCCAACTAAGCAGAGCACCACCCTCCACACTAAATGTCCTCACCAGGCCAAACCACAGGTCGCCCTCCTGCTATGCTGGTCTGACCTCAGGGGCTCCTCTCCCCATGAGGACCTCTGTGTCCCCCTGCACCACTCCTGTATCCTTCTCGGCACCCAGCATGGGGCCTCAGGTGCACTAGGGCTTCCCGAGTATTTGCTTATTTAAGCACAAACCCAAAAAGGCCAAGGGCAAGGGTGAGTGTGTTCAGAACAGTGAGCACGGCAGGTTTTAGGGGGCTGGGCGCTCAGAAGGGCCCACTGGGCATCTGAGTTCTGTGCGGAAGATTAAACCAAGAGGAATTTCAGAGAGGAGCGGTGGTTACTTGGAAACCATCATCGGCTACCAAGCTCAGCTGCAAGACCCCACCCAACTGTTCCACAGTCCTGGAGGGGCTGAGGTGCACTGCCCCCAAGCCAGGGGTGCGGGACTGGATCACCGGGAGGCTCCCCCAGCCCTTTCTCAGGATTCTGCACCACAGGTTCCATTCGGATCACGCCCAGGGGGAAGCGCTCCTCCAGTGGGGACAGCGGTAACTCACAACTAACCGGAAGCGCAGACTCATTCTGCCAGCCGCGAGCAGGGCCCTGAGCTGTGCTGGGACCTTTCCCAGGTACAAATCAATGTGAGAATGAATGGGAAGGAAGCAGTAGGCTCACCCTCCTCCCAGAGATAAAGCTTTGTTTGAGCCTATGCTGTGGTGTCTGTTCCTTTGGGATCCACATTGGCGGGGTGAGGATAGCCTACGCTCAAGGGCATGGACTGCTCAGAGCAGGGATGCAGGACAGCCAGGGGATCCCGAGGCACAGATGCTGCAGCAGCCAGCCTGGGCTCTCTGCCCTCACTGCCTGTGCCCAGGGGCTCCGCCTGGGCCAGCCGGCCCTGGGCTGGGTCACCCAGCTGGCCTGTGCAGGGCCCAGGTTGGGGCCTCTGCGCCTGCTGCCGCCTGGGCTGAGGCATAAGGCCAATGGTACCTTACTTAACACTGTCGGTGCACAGGAGAAAACGCCCCTGGTCTGTTAATGAATCACCAGCTACTAGAAGGGAAGCACAAGAACTAGAGATGCTATCGTTTTCTTGGACTTGAGACTCAGTTATCAGGTACAAAGGAAAGCATTTCTTAACAACAACAAAAAAACCAAACGTGTTTCTTTCTGAAGCCCCAGTGCATCACACCGGCTAGGAAGGCGGAGCAGCATCTTTTACTGGGCTTTGTTTCAGAAGGGGATTTGCTGCAATCAGCCCTCTCTTCCAGCCTCGACACAGCCATCTTTCTACAGCGGGATCTTGCCATAGGGCCAGTGCATGCTCACAAAAATGGCTGGGATTTTTGCAGTTTGGAAAGAGAGAGCCACATCACATCCATAGGCACACATGAGCTCCACCAGGCACAGCTGACCCAGATCCCTGGAATCCAGTGAGAATTTCCAGTGGGGCTTCCACTCTCAAAATTGGTCAAGGTGTCAGCATCCACAGCATATGCAAAACTGAGCTAACCTGCAACATTTTCTGTTTATCATTTAGGGGCACTGCTTCAAAACATGCACGCACCCGTGACCCTTTAATCTTAGGGCCTTAATATTTCATCATGGCTTTGATTGCATATAAAACCAATTCAAGGGTATATTTTTACCTGAAGGTCTAATAATTTAATAACACTTGTTGAAGCCACATTTGTATTAGATTTCACTCTGTTTTAATACCACATTGCTTTACATAGGGTCCATTTTTAATAAGGACCAAATAGTCTATTTTTTGGTTCTCCGCTTTCTTCTGTAAACCACAGGGCATGAAGGTGCTTCATCAGCGCCCTTTGATGAAGAACAACAGAGCCATGAAGATTACTTCTATCAAACAATGAAAATCACCTGATTGAAATCTTCTCTCTCTCTGTTGACAATGGTGTCGCCTCGTGGATTACAGTCACCTTTTATCGGCCAATATCAGAGAATATGCTGTAGAGAAATTCCCACTTATTCAGAAAGCTGCTATGAGGCAAACCCTCAATATAAAACGTCAGGAGTACAGTCTGACTTTTCAGGTGCCAACCTTGTTATTCCTAAAGTTTGAGACAGCTATTCTTGTTATTCCTAAAGTTTGAGACAGCTATTCCCATTCTTACTTATAGTATACCGGATCTTTCTGAGCCCTGGCCATGCTTAATCAGCTGACCCTGGGCATCCGATGCTTCAGTACATGACCTGCCTTCCCTAGACGCTGGTGTGTTAGCAATCCCAAAAGGAGAATAAAGTTACTGGAGCCCTTATCAGCTCCATGGGGAGGCCATGTCCCCCTGGGTCACGTCTTGGATTCACTAAGCTCATGATTTGCGAACTTCCCCCTGCCCTGTGGTTTTGAGGGAGCAGGACTCTCTCTCAAACTGCTCACCTTACTGTGTTGGGCTTTTACTCTGTGCTACTATGCTTTAGAGGGAAATTCTTTAATCTGTGGTTTACTGAAATCCGTGTTCCATATAGTGACACACACTATAAGATTCTATGCTAGTTCCAGTGCAGCCTCATGGCATTTTTGTTTTCCAGCAACTTCATAATAGATTAAATATGTTTTACGAATATCTTACCGTGGTAGAGGGTAGAATCTTTTTTATGTCCACTGTAATTTTTTTTTCTTTCATGAAAATCTGGAGATAATTCTCCAAGATACGGAGCACAGGAATGTTTCTTTAATTAAGGAATTAAAAAAAATAAAGACCTTATTTTTTCCCTGAGATCTCCACACTGGAAATTCGAAGCTCTAGCCGATCTCCCTGTGTCCTCTCTATTATATATGTCCGTGTCTGTGTGTTTGTAGGCACGTGTCTACACTTCCATGTTTCTATCTATCTGTTTATCGCTTTATCCACCCATCTATTTTTGGACTTTCCTGAAGAATCCAGAAGGGAGAGAGCTGTATGTGACATCCAACACTCTTCTTCCACAAACTGTCCTTCTGAAGCAAAGCCCCACGTTTCTGGTGATGACCCCACAAGTGAACGAGCCAATATTATATTAAATCTCATCACCAGCTCCTGCCCTTGGAGCAGATCGTGAAAAGTGGGCTACAAAGAGCAGAGCCTCTCTCCTCAGCAAACACACGCTTAGGGGAAGGGGCAACAAGTTAAACTTCGCGTGAGAGCAATATCATTTACTGCATCTCTCCCCAGGTCATCTAAGGGCAATACATTTTTACGACTTCCATAATTCCATGTCATTTACTGCATTTGATCTTTTTGTCCACTTGGTTTCTTGGTCTAAAAGCAACTAATCTGAGGAATTTAAGCAACGTATAAAGGGGAGTTAAATTACAGCTAGGGAATCATAATAAAAACACACTTGTATCTCACAGGGACATTCATAGTGTGATGGTTTCGTATCATTGTTAATTGCGTCTTGGTATCAAACTATACAATATCCTATTGCGTGAGCTTCAGCACATTTAAGATTACCTCACAGATTTGTACCAAGTTTTAAAACAGACCACAAAATCACATCAAAGAATGACTTTTCTCATATTCCATGACCATCTGAATTTTAAGCTTGATATATAGTTTATCATTTTTTATTTAGATAAAGTGATTATGTATGTGAATAAATATCAACCTAAGCCGAGAAACAGATAAAAAAGCACAGCCAGCTATTGACTCTATTTTTTTAGGGTTGCCTTAGTAAATAAAGTATTGATCTTTCCCGTTTGGGACTTCAGCACAATCCCACTCTCCACTCCTCAGCAAAATGGATTCATTGTCCTTGGCTTGTTCTTAGCAAATAGTAATCCACATCACAAAAAATAAACTGGGCATCTCAGCCAATTTGGTCTTTTTTTTTTTTTTATGAGAACAGGTTCACACGTCTTCATGGAGACCGAAACCAACCATCTCATAAGAGAACAATCTGAAACCATCCAGCCTCAAATGGGTCTTCTCTCCTCATTATTTTAATAGGCATTACACACCCTACCCTGTGTTTTTGCAGGGATTTTTTTTGGACATGGAATTAGGTCGCTTTTCATCAACTCTGAGAAACTTTTCTCTCACAGCATAACATTGCCTTGTTTCTTTTGTTTTGTTTTTGTTTCCTCCCCATGACTTGTTTTTATTTCGGTTTTGGTCAATAAATGTGACTTACAAGGCACCGAGGTGGCTAGAAGGATGCTAAAGTGAGTAGCTACTCTATCTCATTGTTCATGAGCAAAAGCAGCACCACCTAACAGTGACCCACAGGGAAACCTACGACTTCCTGCAGCCATGAGAAATTCAGTGGTTTGTGCGTTATCACTCAAATACAGGTTTAATCAGTAACTTCGTAAGCTACAAATATTTACATGAGTTTAGCAAGTTTGATCTGGAACAAAATTCTGGAAAGAAAAAATATACAAGTCATGAGATATTAAAAATTTGCAAGACACAAGACTATTTTTAATGAGAAATCCAAGAAAAAACCTGAAATGCCATATTTAGCAAAACCTTAGCTATTCGCTGTAAGTCAAAGTTCCTGGCCCTCTATATTCAAAGCAAAGCATCACTGTCAAAGAAAGGCACCCCTCAGTGACAGGAGGTGCACCTCCCCACGTCCGTTTAGTCACAAACAGGAGTCCACGTTTTCTTAATTTCTATAATTAGTGTTAGTATTGTCTACATTTGAGAATTTTTAATGATGATCAATGAAAGTATGAAAACAAATTTGGCAACACTTCTACAATTACAACTGTTAACATTTTTCAGTGAAGCTTACTTAGAGTCACAGTTCCCACCATGTTCCTGTGAAGGTCACCAGGTTTTCGGGAATAATTTTCCTGTTTAGTGCATTTCCCAAGAAAACCCAAGTTAGGAGAATGTTCCTGATTTACTACTTTAAATGCCAAATTAACCTTAACTAGGTACATTTAAATAAAGCTATAGGGACTACGTTTTAAATAACAATTGTCCTACCCTACTGGAAAATAGTGTTAATTATTATTCAGTTCTATTTCCATCGTGTGTCAGCTAGAGCGCGAGTTCGTTGGCTTATGTAAGGAGCCATCATACTTAAGCAGCTACAGACAAGACCAAAAAAAAAGCACCCAAATAATTAAGTGATATTAACTCACTAACTTTTAATCAGAGTTGAGGTGGGGAGGGGGCATGGAAAGCCCTTTCCCTTAGCTTTGGTAAATTTTCCTAAATATAAGGATTGTTTCCTGCTGAAGAGTCAGAAGAATGATTTAAACACATAATGTGCTTTTTAAGCAACTGAGTAACAATATGGCAAAGAGTTTTAGGTCTTCCGGGCAGAATGTGTAGCATCCTACCCACTTGATTGTCACCAAAGACAATGAGAATCTCTTCGTAGAAACTGGTGTAGACTATACCCTGACATTTTTCATCCTTAAAGTCAGATTCCATTGAATGCAAATTTAACAGAGATAAATAAATTTCCGGGAGTGATTGTTACTAGACTTTGTATATTAAGTGTGGTCAAAGGATAATTTCCCACCAGGTCCCAACTCTCTTTCCATTCCTGTAGAAGAATGGAAGATTATTTAGTAGTAAACTCAACGCACTAAATGTGAGCCAAAAAAATTAAAAAAAATAAAAAACCTTTAGAAGAAAAACAAACAAACCAGAAGAGTTTGGAGTAAAACAAAACACAATCACTAGCGTCATCTTTTAACACATGATGCAATAATAATTCAACTTTCTAAACCATTTAAACTCAGATTGGTGTTTGAGAGGCCAATATAATTATTGTTTACTATAAATTAAAGCATTCATTAGTTTTTACACACTCCACTAAATTTTAGAGATGAATTTTTAAACTTGTGATTTCTAAAAATTTAAATTTCATTCCTGATAAAAAGTGAGTTTGTTTCTTTCACCAATAGCCATATCTCACCCAGAAGACCACATTTTGAATTTGTTGCCATGTATTTCCTTAAATTTATAGGCAATCAAGTATTTGAGAATTCAAATTCAGTTCTTATCAGATAGCTACTGCACTTGTATACGTGCACATACACTGTTATAAAATAAACAGCATACATTATGAAATCCCTATTTTGTTTATGAAATGTCTTCACTTTTTCCCCCAATACAGAATTAAATTCTTTCTTGTCAAGCTTGATTCATCAAAATCTGCAAAGGTTAATTTAAGTTTCATGTACTCCTCAGCTTCACCTATAAAAAAACTCAGGGTTTGTCATGATGTCAAACAACAGATTTTCAAAATAAATCATAAACGGAGACAAACATGGTATAAACAAGAGACAAAATTTCTTATCATGAAAGATAACATGCAAACATAAAATGCAGACATTGACCTTTGGGTGTGACTTTACTCCTCTCTACAACTAGCAGCACGGCACTCCTAGAGCTCAGTATGATTAGCAGAAGTTTCACACAGATCTGGAAAAAAAAAATTAGATAGCATCATTATTACTTTAGACACCAGCCCATTAAGTCATTTTCATTATGCAAAAACGACGTTCTGGTGGAAGCATATTTTAAAAACTTTTATTACGGAAATTTTCCCAAAATGTTATTATAGAAATTACCCCAAAGCAGAAAGAAAGGTGTAATCTATTCCCCTGCACCCCAAACCCAACTTCAACAAAGATCAACACTGCTGTTCTTGCCTCATATTCCAGTCTTTTTTGGCTGGAGGATTTTAAAGCAAGGCCAAGATATTGTGTCATTTCACCCATGGCTCCACTCAGAGATATTTCACAGCTTGTAAGGGGCACAGGACATCTGGCGTTTAACCCAAGGACCACAGCAGCAACTAGATACTTTGGTAATACTACTTTTCCAATTGGAAGCAATTAATGCAAACTCTATTGAAAAAGGCTATGGATTACTTTAGCTACATAACTTTTAAAAAATATGCTCGCCTTTGAAAGTAATTATTTCATGTATTAGAATTTAACATTTCCATTAGTGTTGAGAAGTCTACATAAAAAGGGAAAAATCTTTTACTTTAAATGTAGGCTCAACATTTCTAGATACATGATCTCATCTTCATACGCTGCATTCAAAATTGTTATGTGGCAAATTCATCAGTGATGATGCTTTTAAATGTTAAGTTTGATATGGAAGCAGAAGTGATACATACAGAATATATTTGTGTATTTATTTATGCCATCACATACTCTATTTAACAAATACTTCCATGAGTATTAGAAGATCCATTCATTTCTAAGCTACAGTACTCTGTTCCATACCTTGAGTGGCAAAGAGGTGCACTTTTCATCACAACCCTATAGCACATTAAGATTTTAATCATTTTGACTCCAAGACATCAAAATGACATTCTAGAGAAGTCTGGGCTATATGCCCCAAGATATTCCACCAAGAACATCTAATGAACTTGCCTTTATTTCTTGCCTAGGAAAAAAAGAGATTATTTGAGGAATAACCCCTTATTACTACTCTGTCTCACACTCCAAAAACCGAGTACATTTGATGGCTTTTATTCTATCCAGTATATAAACTGCAGTGGCAGCCACAGATTCACTTGTAATCCTATAACTTTTCATTGAGATTTTTTTCACTCATCAAAAAAATGACACACAATGTTTATGAAAATCTCAGTGATGTGTTATATTTTCATCCAAACACAATCATCTTAAATCTGACATATATATTTTCTCCATTCTTCCCCACTTATTTTTGTGTATGGGTGAATGTTAGAACTTCAATATTTGGAAGAGTCTGTGAACATGCCCTTACTGGCCAACATGTGATTATTATAAATAAAGTGAAATAATTTGCATTAAGAAGAAAAAAAGTGACACTCTTATATAAACAAGATGTATGTAAAGTGTAGAAAGGAACTAAACTTTCAATAAAACCTCTAATTCTACCAATGTCTATTTTCTAAATATTTATCTTCCTAAAAGCAGCGTGTGAATATTTTAATAGCATAGTGTCTTTGCACTTAGTATACACTCAGTAAATAGTTACTGCCTAATGTGCAGTTCCATACCCTCCAAAACACACACACACGCACACACACACAGAGTCACATCTTTAAGACACTGTTTAAACTCTAGAGAATCCATCACAGCAAAGCTGTAGTGCTAGATCACAGGGCAAAGTATCGCCTTCACAAAGCAGAGTGTGACTGTCATATTCTGGTTGTAAAGTGGCTGTCCTTGTGTTTTCGATTAGGCACCAGTGCATCTGGAGTTTTCTACTATACGAACATCTCATCCTTCAGTTGTCTGAAACCATCCTCATGTGTTAAGATGCATGAATTCTCTGTTGCTTTAGTCGCTTATCACAGTTTTTATCATTGATGTGTTGCTTGAGCTTTTTCTATCAAAAATTGTTCAGTTTGAAGAAACTCTCTTCCTTGTTATTGTGGTATTAACTCACTTCAACAGCAGGGCTTTTCGAGTGGGTGGGAGAAGTCTAGTCCCTTTCTAGGAATAATTTATTCTCGGTTTTTAACTTATGAGTGGTTCAGAACATCCATAAATATGTTTCAGGAAGAAACGTTACCTGAAAGGACTCACCCTGTTTCACTACGTTGTGGTTCAATGATGGCTTGCACCTTTGAGTATCTTTCACACCTTTTACTTCCAACACTGCTGTTCATAGTGGTAAGGACTTAATCAGTGTTTTAAAAATCAAATGCCAATTAAGAATTATCTAATCAGGTTTCATTTTATCCTTGCAAAATTGCACCTATCTTAGGTTTATTCTTTAGGCTTGCATTTTCCCAAGGTTAGTGTTAATTTTTATTCCAATTATAAATAGGCAGAAGGAATGAAGAAAGGTAGTTAAGATTATTGAAATTAAGTCAAATTGACAAACTTGGGAGCAGTCTTTCCCCAGGATATTATTATTCGGGGTGACCACTGCTGGGACTAGTTACTGGAACCCTCTCTAGTCCTCCTGGAGCATCTGAGAGAGGGCCCATGTAGCAGTGGATCTGCGTTTGTCATAGACCACGTCCTTTATGAGGAAAAAATCGGAAAATCAACATTTCAAATATTGTTCATCACATTTTTGCTTATATCTGAACGCCTACATACATCTCTGAATTGTTTGAAACACTTTAAAAACATTTTCTGTGGGAAGTTGTGGCTATGGACGTCACACATTTCTATAGTATATCTCCAACATCAAAGAAAACTACGCCAAATGCCTGAATAATCCTGACTACGACGTCTCACTGTATTCTTTTGCAAGCTTCATTAAAACTGGATTTTAAACAGGAAACAACCCAATTATCTACTCAGAGTAAAAAAAAAAAACTTTACTTGTTCTGTTAATGGGGGATTTGTGTACTTCTTGTTTAATGGCTTTTGATGACATGAATATTTATCTACAAATATGCAGTAGCTGTTATTTTAAGGACTTTGGCACTACATTTGATATAATGGATGTAGGTGTATTCTATACTTTACTGTAAACAACTGCTGAATGCTAATTGTCTCAAACTTCCACATTGTTTAAAAGTACCCCACTGGCTTTAAGTCATTGTCTTCATATCTACTCACTCATTTCTTCCCAAAGATATCCAAAAAGAATGCACAACTGTGTACTCCATTCTTATAAATGTATTAAACAAGCATCCAAGTTAGGGGACTAGAAGGTCTACGTACAGCCAACAGAGTGGAGAGTCAGTGACCACTTTCAACTCTGTATGTTATAAATACAATTCTGCTAATTTTTTCCAACTTCTGAGTGTGTGTATATGCTTAAGAATTAACTTATTTTCCATCCTCTGAGCCAGAAAAAAAATTTTTTTAAGAAGTGGATACAGGAATGGAACCTGGAAAAAAAAAAATCCAGCATCGCCCCCGCCCAAACAAGCAAACAAAAAAAACTTTAGAAAGTTCTTACAAAACAAAAATCGCACCTTCTGCTGGTGTAGCAAATACTCAAGCCATGAAGTGAGGGTCTCCTTCCCTGGTCCAGGATGGAAAAATCCTCTCTCTCAAAGTTCTTAAAAAGAAAGTACTTTGGAGTCTTCTAATGCTGAACAAGAATTTTCTCCTTAACAACTGGAAATCAAGAATGTTTGAATTCACTTAACATGTAGAGGAAAGAAAGTACAAAGAGGAAGGCCACACAGCCCTGTGGTTTCTGTTTATCTGTTTTCTCTCACACGCTGTTGTTTCTGATTCAGCGGAGACGGGGGATCCTGTGTCAGAGCTGTGGGTCGCAGAGAGGCAGCGAGGCTCGGTCTGCAAACAAGACGCTGCAAGGCTGAGTGAGAGACAGAGGGTGTGCGAGCAGCGAGTACATGTTACATCAGACACAGTACCTGATTTTTCACTGCACAGCTTGTCAGCTAGATAGTGTGCCTCCTGGGCGATAAGTGAGAATATTTCATCTTCATACTCTTCTATTATAGTTTCACACTGCAGAAACATAATAACAACATATGTGGATAGACGCACACTGGCGGGGCACTTTGTTAGGAAGGACTTTGCAACAATTTATTAGCTACACATAGGAAATCATGTAACCAAGGTGGTCCATTTTTACTAGCCCTTTTGGTTTAATACATCATTGCATTGGATTAACCCTCTTCCCAGAATGTTAATTGCATCATTTTCCTGGGGCTTAAGTACATGATGACTTGTGTTGGAAGATGTGGGAGGCTGAGGAAGGAACATCATTCTTTGCATGTTTCACTTCCTTAAATTGGAATGGAAGCCATAGGAAGAAACGGGCCTCCCATTTAAGGCGCTGAAAAGTCTAACGGTTTTTAAATTACAAAAAAAAAAAAAATTAAAAGACCACAGTTCCTTGAAATGGTTAAACCAGTTTCCTTCAGATTTAACATAAAAATCCATTTTGTGGCTTGAAAGTGTGAAAACAATTAAGCCTTCTCAGCAATCAAAACAAACTCATCCTCAGTTTCTCTGTGGAGAGCACACCTGACAGTTACTTCGGGAAGTGTCTTTTCATACTATTTAGAGATCCATCCAAAATTTCACTTCACTAAAAAAGAGGAAAACAAAACAAAACAAAACAAAACAAAACACCCTGACCTTTCAGAGAAGAGGGTGCTCAAATATGCCCCCGCATTAGACAATCTTAAATTCTAACTGAAGTATGTTTCTTTGTTAAAGAACTACCAGGTTATACTTTTAGGAGCTGTGAAGTTACCCAACGGTATTCACTAGAGACTTGTAAATCATTTTCTGAGTTCATTAAGCAAGACTCTAAAAATTTTTAATGGCATTTTAAAAGATTTAAATTTCACAGGTTTTGCCCATTTAAAATCTGTGAAATACAAACACACTTATTCATTGCCATTCTTATTCTGTGGTACTTTTAACCCTGATAATTGCCTTTACTTTCTAATTAAAATAAAATCTTTAAAAATCGGCTAAAGCCCTTATTTCAAGGATTCAGCAGGCCTGATATTCTGGCCAATGTGTGAACTTAATAATACATTTTTTAAAACAGGAATGCCCATCACTTTGTCTGATTCAACAGCATTGACTAAAGTGAAATATATTGCAATGTACTTTGCCAAGCATATTCTAGCAAGCCAGAGACTACCATTCATGAGAAATCAACATTATACTGGAAGGAAATTTGACATCAAGCCCACTATCATACCTAAGCCTTTGTTTAACTTAGCTTGGGCTAGAATACTAGAATTAACTCAGGATTCAATTCTCCCTCCTCTGTGAAGCCTTAGAAAAAAAGAGATGGTTGCATCACTCTCCCTCTAGCATTTGGCTGTAAATATTTGAAAGCGACATTCGTTTTAATTTGGCTTTTAACCTGGAAACCACAGCCCCTGATTCCTTACGTGGAAACCTGTGAGAGAACCTTCCTCGCACCAGCACGGAGACCACTCCGGAGTCCCTACACAAATGTTTTAAGCAAAGCATTGTGCAAAACTGTGTCTTCAAGTCCCCAGGATTTGTGAACAGCACCTTCCATGAAGTATCACTGAAACGTGTCCATTGATCACCACAAATTGCCACAACCCCTTAGGGTCTCAAAAGTCAAGTTACTAAATGTATGGTGAGCACTTAAGCAGCAAGATAACAAAGTCAGCAGGTGACATTTTAATGTGCATTGTGATGTTCCATATCTTGAAACTCAACTACAACAAGAGTAGTAAACAACAAAAAAGAGTTCCAAAAACACGTTTCTGGATCATACGATTCATCTGCAAGGAAGAGAGCTTACCGCAAATTTCAAAGGTCTGTAAGCATCAGAATAAAAATATAATTTTTTAAATTCTTGGTATATTCTGTCTCCTTTCCTAGGAGCAAATCTCTTGAAAGTTCTCTCCTTCGTCACAGGGTCTTCCTCAAGCTTGTAGTCGTTCATTCGCTCACAGACTTTCTCCAAAAGGTCCGTTAGGAACGCCTCCGACTGGGCTAGGGGGATCTAAGAAGAAAGACAGGGCGAGGAAACTTGTCTTAATGTTAATGTTACTTCAAAGACCTTCCGGCGAGTCCACATGGAAACGCCACACTCTCCATGAATGCAAACGTGTGCCACTTCCCCAGCACAGACACAGTAGACGGTACCGTAGACTGTTATTACAATGTAACAACAACCTGCTTTACATCATTACGGGGTTAGCGTAAATTCTAGCTTTTTAAAAGTGCATATATTGCAAAGTGGACAGAAAAAAATACATTCAAACTAGAAACTATACCTCTACATAGAATCATGTTTAGAAGTCACTGAGCATGTAGCAAAAAGCATGACGCATAGAAAATGGCAGTTATTATCCATCTACTTGTCAGACAGAGAGGAGAGAGAGAGGAGGGGGAGAGACACAGAGAGAGGGAGAGAAGGAGGGAGAGACAGAGAGAGGGAGGGAGAGAGAGGGAGAGAGAGCGCGCGCTCAGCTGGCTGCAGACCCCCTTAGTCGGGGAGAAGTTGAGGAGGCCCAAAGTCTGGCCCACCCCGGGGCTGCCCTTGGCTGCGCATCCCCCGCGCTGCAGCCGCGCGATGGCCCGGGCTGGGGTGGACGCGGGGCTGGGAGAGGAAGGGGCTCACGGACGGGCGCCCCATCTCCCAGGCGGGCTCCTGGGCTGCTTTCTTTGGGAACAGCTGGTGCACGTCCCCGCTCGCCCCTCTCCCTCCGGAATTCGGCGAGGATTCAGCTGGACCCTTTGGCCACCACCTCCGCCCCGGGCGCGGGTCAAAGAGCACCCCTCGCCCTTGGTAACGGAGACAAAACGTTCGGGGCCGTCTAGACAGGTCAAGGTGCAGGATGCGGCGTCCCCGCGGCTCCTTCCGGAAGGGGGCGTGGAGCCGCCAAGGGCGCCGGACCGCGCCGCAGCCCGCGGCCTTTGCGGGCTTTTTCCCTCTCCACCCTCTGCTGATCAAAGTAGGAAGTTTGCATGACAACCGCAGTGAAAGGGGCTGAATCACAAATGAACTCGATTTCTGCAGTGTTGATCTATCCAGCCTCCATTGTCCCCTTTCAGGCGCAGTATGAACCCTTCCGGTGCCAGCGACCGCGCTACATTCACAGGCGCGCTCGGGGCGCACAAAGGGTCTCCGCGCTTCACCGCCATCTGGCCACAAATCTCATCAGCGGCGCGGCGGCGTCCCCTTGAAAGCGCGGGCGGAGGGTGCGCCTGTGTTCTTTAGACCCAGGTTCCATTACAAACCGCCCCGCCTCGCCACCGGCGCCCCCCGTTTCAATAAGGAAGCCAGTTTGTCAAAACATTCTAAAAGAAACTTGGGAAGAGGACGCGCCAGAGAAATACAGCCGCCGATTAACTATCAGCTGCGCCTCCCCTGTGCACAGGTAACATCCCTCCTCCTCCCCCACGACTCCACTGGAGCTTGATTTTGAGCTGCTCTCAAGGCCCAGACACTCGAATCGGAAGTCAAATAGCTTATGGACTATTTAATAGAATATACCACCACATGTATCTAATCACTCAAATGCCACGTTTTTAAAACTCACGAATGTTTTAATCTCTAAAAATGTCTGCCCTCAAAAACTGCAGCCTAAGCGGCTCAAAGTGCACATTTCAAACACAAGTTGCGTTCTACTTACGCTTTAATTATGCCGTTCATTAATTTTCATTGATTAAGTTGTAAAACATGCACACAACACGTAGATTAACAAACAAAACTGAAAATCTGTTTTATTAATTTACAGAAACAAATAATTAAACACATGCTAATCATTGGAAAAACTATAAAATGCAGAGGCAGATTTAAAATGTAATTTAATCCAGACAGATCACTAGCGGAAAGATTATGGAGGTTTTCGTTTTCTGTGATGCATGTATTTTAAGTATTATTTCCTTAGCTGATACATATACAATATATTCATAGTAGCTTCTGGATGTCAACAGAGTAGCATTTTACCTGAAAGTGAAGAGTAGACTCTTTCATTAAAAAATATCTAACTGTAATCAAGAAATTCATTCTCTCTCTTCTTCCCTTCCTCCCTCCCCCCCGTCTGGTTTCCCATCTGAAAAGTAAACATACTTGATGCTTGGGGGGATGGGGACAGAGCCAGGAGGCACTATGGTCTGATCGCCGGGGCTTTCAGAAACTTAGGCCTTTCTTCCATTGGAACACCAAACTCCATCCTAATACACCACCTAATTCATGTTGAGTAGGGGCCACGCTGAAAACTAATTTTTCAATTCACAGAATATTGTGAGCTATTTGCAAAAATTGCTGAGCATATAAGTTTTGAGCAAAATTGTGATGCTTGTGTGGAAGGCCTTCCACAACTCACTTCTGCGGGCCATTTGATTCACTTCCTAGGCTGCACCTTTTGGAAACAGTTCCCCATGTTACAACTTTCCACCTCCCAGTGGATTGTTTTTATTTTGAAAGTGTAATTTGACATGTTTGAATATACTACCGTTTTGCCTATTTTAACACAAATATGTTATGGCAAGGTGCAAACGTGTGAATTTCTATAATTTTGTCAGTCTATGAAGGTTGACTGGCTTTTTGATGTGATTCGCTAGCCCTTTAAAGTAAACATCCTTTAAAAGTAGAAAATGTTTGCTGGCAGCTAGCTCGGAGACACTACCTTATGATGTTCGTTAAAAAAAGGAAAGGGAAAACAGCCAGCGTGACACGAGTGGAGCTCATTTTTGCAGAAGGTTAAGAAACATTTTGATCCTAAAATGCCAAAGCATCAATTTTTTTGAGAAAATATTTAAGAAAAAGATGCTATGCATTACAGCTCTTTATACATTTATTCAAATGTACATGATTAGAGTTTAAAATGATTCTAAGCAGTTGAACTACGATGAGTACATTTAAAGACTGTTCACAGAATAACTGGGCTTCCCCCTCCCCACTTCAAAGTGTTTTGATTATAAGAGGCCAATAAGTATTGGGACAAGTGGAATAAAACGAAGTCTTTCTATACTGTGAAGATTTTGAATAGTACTTGTCAATAAAGCACCTCCTATTGTAATCTTAGGGAGCCTTGCCTCTGCCCTCCAAGGACTGTCTCAGAGATACTAACCTCATTAAAATATGAATGAGAAGGCCTGTGTATCCAGAGAAAATCCACGCACTGGCACAGTTTTCTTATCTGCCATTGCTTTTACATATGGACTTGTCTGGTACAAGTTATAAGTAGAAAAATGATCCATGATAATTTCATTGCTATCTTAGAGTACCCCAAGCACTCGAAGTAAATCCTAACTTTTCCTAAATTTTAAACCCACCTATAACTCTTAATCATACTTCCTAAATGTAGTGCCTATTTCTCCCCCTTTACGTTTCTTCTGACCTTGTGCTTGTTACGTGAGCAATGGAATGGGGGTGGGGGGATACCCACATCCCTACTTTAGAATGGAAAAAAGTACTTGAAAGTTCTGACTTTGACTTCTCTAGAAAACCGGAGCTAGGGAGTTTATTACAGACCGCTATGATAACGCTTTAATAACGGCCAATTACAGCATGCCTCCATGTTTGTTCATTACTGTGTCTCTGTTAATCTTGTAGTAAATTTCTTGCTTGATAGCTGTCACAATCAGCAGGAATACAATTATGTTACAGTGGAAACTGTCGTTGTAGTATATCTGTCTCTGCCATTACAGTCTGACAACCTCCAATAAATTTCACTCATCTTTATCGTTATTTTGGAGTGTCCTTCAGATATGAAACCAGTACTTAACCTGCTTAGTGACTGATAATTAATTTCACATTGTAGCAAAGATTTTCTTTCTGGAGGTTTAGTTAATGTAAAATTTTAATTGCATTGTAGCAATATTGCATCTAGTTTAATCACTAACTTTTCATCCATAAAAATTGAAATCACTGCTGATATTAGTTAAAAGTCAATATTTAGAAGTGAAAATTCAAAGCTCCTTTGCTCTAGGCTACAACAGGGGAAGCATGAATTCAGAAACTCTTGTAAGCTGATGAGATATATAATTAGCTTTTATGTTAATTGACTGCTATGAGTTTGTTGTATGACACTTCTTCATATAATATGCAAATAGCATTGACTGTTTAGTTTTATTAGACAATATAATTAGAAATCTAAAGGCACTCATTTCGATGAGGAATAATAAAGGCTGATACATTTCCAGTGTTCTGCATATCAGAAAAAAATGAATTGCATCTGGACGTAATAAGAGAGGTTTTAGCTAGACATTATTTAGGGAGCCAAAACCACATATAACAGAATTAAAAGGAGTGCTTCCAACCACTGTAAATTCCGTATTTAAACAGGTGAATTTGTGGTGTCCATAAGACTTTGGGGGGAAAACACAAATGTTTCAGTACAATTTGCCACAAATAATAGTACACTTAATGAAAATAATACCTAAATGTTGCCTGCAATAATTAGAGTGAAATAAGTCATTCTTACTTAAAATAGTTTGCAAGTAAGTGTTCCTGTTCTTGTTACTCACAGACACTTACCAATAACATACACGCTTAGGTTTTTCAAAAAAAAAGAGTAATAAAATAAGAACAATGTGATTTTGGGGGGATGTTTTTCCAGAATTCATTTTTTTTTTTTTTAATTTCTGGAGCTTATTTTCAACTTAACAGTGACCAAACAGAAAAAAAAAAAGAAAAGGCATAATACATCAACATTCATGATCTTTCCAAATGGGAATCATCTAACAATTTGATTCTTTATGAAGTTAAAAAACACACTTTGCTTTTATTATTAAATGCAAAATTGGTACTAGCATTCGCTTTCCTATTTTAAAATGCATTCTGCCAGTTTAAAAAATAAACCCTTTAATTTTTGAACATTTTAGGGAGAATGAAAAGAAATACAATCTGTCACACAAAAAATACCATAAGCTTAACCTCTGTTAAAAAATCTTCTAAGCAAGGACTTTGGGCGCCCAATTCACACTGCACCTCTCGGCTGTGTCCTCCGGTGGGCACCGCTCAGAGGGTTCCTACTGGTTTCAAAAAAC